TGGATCAGTAGTCTCAATTAGTTTCATTAAAATATTTTGAGCTTATCAGAGCTCATGCACATGGGACTGGTGTTACACGCTGCCGATGTGGCCAAGCGGCTGGATTCAACGGCGCTGAACTAAAACGGATTGCTGGTTGATCTGGGCTCGTCTGGTCGCCGTTCAGTGTTGTTCAATGACGGGAGTCCATGAGTTTTGAGAATCATATGGCAAACCTCAAACAAGCAGCAAAGGCGGCACTGATGAGTGCTAAAACGGCAGAAGATGCATGTTAAGGAAAAGCAGCATGGCCTCGTACCTGTTACGGGAAGGGTGACGACCCAACAAAGGAATATGTCGCGGAATGTATACCAATTCACGTTTCTTTTCTCCCTCAGAAACCCCACGAACACCACAGAGCCAACTTTGCAGTGAGTCGTGCTGATAGGGATGCCTAGCTTGCTAGCGAAGAGCACCGTGAACGCCGCTCCGAGTTCGACACAGAAACCACTAAACGCAGAGGTCGCCAAAGTTTGAAAACCGTCGAAAACGCATGCGTAAGTCATTCGTACCTGATGGCGTTCAACTCGGTCAGACCTTGCCCCACGGTGTAGATGACCAGATGACCAAGCATCCACAATCCAATACACATTCCTACCGAACCGTACAACATCAGCCAAATGGGTACGTCCGATCGCTGCATCACCGACTCGTCATTGTATATGCTCCAGATGCTTGCAATCGGCGCGATGGCGTTGCTGTATGAATTTCGGTGATAAATCACGTGAAAATCACCTCCTTCCGTTCTACCTCACGTCGTTACCGCCGTGCGCAAATCCGCTGAAGCACGCGCTCATGATTTGCAGAAAGGCAAATAGATTTACGGCCAGGGGATCCTCCACCTTCGGTGGCCGTAGGAGCTTCTTCACCTGTCAAACGTAACCACGCCACATAATTTTCAGCTCTACTAAGAGGCATGCGCCTCCTGAACGTTTTATACCCTATTTGTTAAGTTTCCGCAGCATGCAGGCCGTTCAGTGTTCATCACTGTAAAATAATGTGTCCGTTGTACTTTTGATTGGACAGACAGTGCTATACTTTACGTGTATGCTTTGCTCCATCGTCGGCCGTTAACGTTACCGGATTTTCATCCACGACCTCTGGCTTTATTTCGCATGGCTGCAGAGGAATTTCTAAAATATTCAACATGGATCAAAACCGTAAATTTTTCAAAATAGCTTAACATGCAAATGAGTACTTATACCGTTTCTGCAATGAAAAATCTGACGACGTATTTCCTTGCTCAACAAATATTTTGAACGGTAAATAATGTGTCATAAACGGACGTTTTTAGGAAGCAATATATAAGTTTGATCGTACATGAACTGTAAGCGCCCTCTCATTCCTGTTCATTTATTGATATGCATAATCGAAGAGTACATTCTACATGACTACTGAAGCGCAGGATTTCCGTGCCACAGTTCAAATAAGAAGCTTTGACATTACAAATTCTTGTTATGCCTTGGTTAAAGACATAAACATGAGGCGAATAGATTTATTAAGACGTTGGCGAATCACTCCGTAGCTGTTACCGTCGAAATGAAACCATGGTACTAGACGGAAGCGATTTCTACAATTGAGCACCTTTTACAGTAATTCTATGGTCATCACATTCCTTCCCTCAGTTGTAATTGAAACTAACTCGTTTGTTGCAGATATTCGCCTTTTCTTACTGTAACCAGTTGTCGTATCTTCGCTGAAGACAGAGTAATCAATAGTTCGTCGTTTGTGTATTTCAGACTACTTTTCAACTTTCCGGAAATTTTGAACCCTCCAGTGAAACCTTATAGGCTGTTTGCATATGGTATTGCTAAGCATCCTGATGTAGCCATTGCAGTTACGTTTAGCTCTGACGCGTCTCTGTTTACTGCGTAAGAAGTTAAACCGGAAGTGGACAGTTAACACTGCAGCTTTCTGTGGTACATTCTTTACTCTGATGACTCGAAAAGAAGGATTTGTATTTAATATGCAATGAGTCATGTAAACTAATATGGTCATTACTTTTGATGTGATGCAACGCAGAGATGAAGTATTTGACAAAATTCCTGAATCATTTTTCAGAATTGCTGAGATCAGTAATTGTTTGTGCATCTGCTGGCCCCAACCTTATATGACTGACTGAAACTATTTTAATTACTGATAATGACATCATCATCTTGAAGGAATATCTATCCGGAATACCTAGATGATTTATCTTTTTGACATGGAGATGAATATAAAGCTTGCACATGACGTCAGATTCCTAAGTGTCACATATCTAAGTATATGCAATTGGTGACGCAATTATTAGAGACCATCAGCATTCCGTATTTCATCTGTAATGGTATGTTCTAGGCTAGAGTTTTAAAGAGCTTCGGTACATACCCTCAACTGTATTGGCTTAGCACCTATCAAGGACCGAAAAAAGTGAACTTATGAGGCGACAATGAACAGTTGTGAAAGGATGAATACTTTTCGCTTGCTGAAATTAGGATAATTTTTTCTTAATCTTGCGATACATTATTTTTTAAAGAATTCTGTTCGCTGGCTATTGACATGAATAGGGAGAGCAAAATAATTATATTGTTCTGGTTGAGAAAATGCATAGATTTCTTTCAAAGACCCGCGATGAGAACGGCCTACGAATCGAACGGTTTAGAGCCGCGACCCATGTGACAGGTGGAAAGCTAGGTTGAAGAGCCTGCTTTACTCCACCTTCCGTGGTGCTTTGGTTCCTTCTGGCAATCGATTTTTTCAGTCTCGAAATTCGGCATTATCATTTTGATATGGCCGTTCAGTCAGTTCTACCAGTTTCGATAGCAGCTCATCGTTTCGGGTCGCGACGGCATCAGCGTCCAACAGAATCTCTTACGTTTGAGTTTCATTAGAAGATAACTCGATTCTGGAGCCCATAAGGGGGGGGTGGGCTTGCCTCATGTAATTCTTGGCCTCATGAGGCACTTTCGGCCAGTGGGCCGAGCTAATAACTTCGATAAACGTGTCAGAACCATAGCAGCTGCCGTAAACCAAGATTTTCTCAGATTTCTGAGTTTCAGACTCGTCGAAACTTGTGAGCCCAGAAAACTCGATTCAGCCGCATGTATTCAAGGTCTCGTTTAGATATTTCTAACGCCATCTATTTCATTTTCCTATTTATAGTGATTCTTAGTCAACATTCAGATCGTTCAGAAAATTGCAGCTGTAAGGTGCGTACATCCGATAGCACTGTCGTTTGTCTCGTGACTTCTGACCTCCCAGACCATAACGTCATTCTGTGTTTACATTTTCCAAGTTATTCACCCGTTTGTTGACTAGCTGCAGCTATTATTTGCTCAAAGCAATTAGTAGCCAACAAGGGACACGTGCTCTGCTCCTGGACTTAAACCTTAAATCTCTAATGAGCAAAGCTTTGCAACTATCAGCTTAGGTTGCTACTTGTATCTTATATATATTTTCTCTAACTTGTCCAACTCGATGTATAATCTTTAATGAATTTAATAAACCGTTAAACCCCAGGTATAAAACGGAGAACCTACCTTTGTCTGGCATTTGTTCGTCAGCAATTTTCTCCATTTCTTTGTACGTTTTCCTACTGTTTTCTTAAGAGAAAAGTTAAGCGCTAAAAGATGAAAGTTAAAGGAAAATCACTAATGACTAGCTTTAAAATGCGGGGAGCAGCGACGAGTTTCACGCCGACAGCTGCGATAGTTCCCAGGCCAAAACTGAGTACGGCCGCTCCCCATGCCGGAATTTTGTCAAAGCCAAGTACTAAAAAAAAGATTATTTAAATTGGGTCATTCATGGTCAAATTATACCCTAAGCCAAGTGTTGAGTTTGACAAGACTGGCAATAGCATTGCGCTGCTAATTTCTGAGAACGGTTTTCCAGACAATTTATAACAACGACAGCCGCAAGCTGCGACCAGAGCAACAGCAGACGCTGTGACTTACAGTAATGCAAAAGCATCATTTTAATATGCTCATTGCTACTTCAAACGGATTACATGACAAATGCCACCAACCCATACGTTTTACTGTGTATCGTGAAAACGGATACCGGCTTCTCAGACATCAATGAAGAAAAAGTGCTGATCTGTCAAATGAAATGAAATGGGGTCGCTCTCCGCAACTCATGGATCAGAAAGCCGTGGACAGCTAAAATATAAACCCCTCTCCTCCCCATCTCAAATCCAGTTTGTTAGGACTAAGATGATCGCTAAGAACGTCGTAGTACTCGATTTCAAAAAGCGAGTCGCTCTTTAGTTTAATGTACTTACGTGTACTTGAAGTACAATCTTCGGACACTCTCATACGGCAGCACTAACGTTCTTAAGGATGGGATCATCCTTCCAACGGTAAAGAAAGAACCATTTGACCATACGATGCTTTAGCATCGTTCTGTGCCACCGGGGGAAAGTGGATGTGGGAGGAGGTGGAGTACGATATACGCTGAATGCTCCGTTTCTACTGCAACTCGGATGATTCGGAGATGAGCCACTGGAACGCTTCCACCAAAAGGAAAGAATATGATCTTATCACCCTGGGATAATCTCCTGAACTCTGTAGTGAGACTGGAAGTGGCTTGCCACATACATCTCGCGCAATAAATTATGGACATCGAGCACATACATGCACACATACATACATACATACATACATACATACATACATACCTACATACAAACACACATACATACATAGATACATACATACATACATACATACATACATACATACATACATACATACATAC